TATTAATCTATTAACAGTATTGAAAATTAATCATTTCAAAGAAACTTAATAATATTAACAGTATATAGTATACGTATACTATTAAAGGAAGTGTAAAGGGGTGCCGAGCCTGCTGACTGAGAAAAGAGGAAGCGGCGAGCGGCGAGCAGCGGCAGCGGGAGCGGGAGCGGGAGCGACGAGTAGCGGGAGGCGCGAGTGGCGACAGCGGCAGCGTTTGCGAGCAGCGGGATTGGGATCGACAGCAGCGAGGGTTAGGGTTCGATTGTCACTTATATCAGTTTTAGTTGGTTCGATTGAACCAACTAACCATCATAAACCGAACCAAGACCGAACCATACCTAAAATCCTGGTTCGGTTGCCTTGGTTAACCCAGGCGCTCGCCCAAAGCGCCCAATGCCTGGGCTCAGGCGAGCGCCCAGGTGGTGCCTGTTTGAAGCGCGCTGCCTGGGAGATTAGCGAGGCGCTCGGGCCTCGCCTCGCCTCGCCCGAGCGCCTCGAGCTCCTTTTTAAATCACTGGGCCTAACTACCCAAATTGGCCCTAAAAGGTAGTGGCCCTAAATCTTAATTATGTCTAAATTAAAGAATGCATCACCCTTAACATGCCTAATTACCCCCAATTGGCCATAAAAGTAAGGTAACGACTCTAATTATGCCTAAATTATAAAGAATGATGCCAATCACCCTTAACATGCTATAATTTAAAAAAATTAGCTCTAATGTCGGAAATACACTAATCAATTATAATTACTCATAATAATAAGACACTAATTAGGATATGATCAAGTCAAAAGCTAACTAAAATGTAGAAAGAGCATAAATACCTTTAATTAAAGAAATCTTCCGACAAATGACACATTTAAATGTTTCAAGCTCTAATCACTGATTATGATGCTTAATTGAGAAAGAGAGAGAAAGAGTGATTAAGTGAGAAAGAGGGGGAAATTTATGCAAGTGAGTGGCAATGAAAGAGGTACGTGAGGAGTGTTTTAAAGAGTGGAATTGGCCCTAAAATGGGGTCCAATGGTCAAGAAAGTTATGCGAGTGAGTGGCAATGAAAGAGGGGAGTGAGGGGTGTTTTAAAGGGTGGAACCGGCTCTAAAATAGGGTCCAATGATCAATTTGACTGTTGGACCCATTTAATCTTAACCCTTTATCTGGTATGATCAAAATCCAACTGTTATTGATTGATATATGTTGGTAATGGTCAAATTTTAATTGTATTGCCCAAAATATGGGGTGTACTAGGTAGTAAACCCTTGTTTGTCAAGTGTTGCCCAATACGAGGAGGTCTGCATGTCGATCGTCGGGTAAATTGGTACGTGTCGTGTGTATTGTACCATACTGGGTAGTACAACGTTCTTTGTGTACATCTGCCTTTGTATATGTAATTTATTAGAATTAAACAAATATATAAGTATAACTACTTAATTGTATAATAAAGTGCAAGTAAATGGATGGTAAATATTTGCCATATCAAAATAAAAAGTCATGTTTTATTATCAAGAACTATATATTTGAGGTTCTAAAATAATGAAAATAATAGAAATAATTAAACTAAATATGCTACCATTTTTTGTCATATCACTTATTGTAACGCCCTAGTCCAACTTTGCAATTCCCGTAAGTTTTCTTACAAGAATTGCAAGGCCTAATACCCATAATACATTTATTCCATATTTCAATTCATAATCAATCCGCTCACAAGATATTTATAACCTATACAATTAATTCAATAGCTCTTTAAGATTCCATAACGTTCCAGTCCCAATAGCATATATACAAGATAATCTAAATGTGCGGTAGTGCTAAGACCTTTAAATTGTTCTTCCATCCATATAAAAAATGAGTTATTCATATAAAAAAATTAAAAATAATCATATGAGTAAAGCATAGCTCAACAGCCATTGTAACTCACATGCTAGCAAAATTTATCACGAATAAGTCTTTGTTTAAAATATATAAATTCTTTATGCGTTCAGTGCATGCTTTTAAAAAAAAATAAAAATCAAATATTTTTCTATATTTGTATCGTTTACAAAAGTTGAAATTTATATGCATTTTAAATCATAATTTGCTAACATAAAATGCTTGTGATACTTTTCAAAGCAACATATAATTAAATACTTCATAATAAAAGCATAACTATAGCTAATATCATATATCATATCATAAATCATTATACTGTAAAAGACTATCATTAAGTATTCATAAATAAACATAAATATAGATAAGGATTTACAAGTGTAAGTATATCTAAGGTGTACATATTAGAATAAAAGTCATGATAGTATTAATGGTTATGATCACGTTATATTCTTGACAAGGCAAGGTTCAAAACCATGTTTAACCCTATGGTGTAGATAATACATCTATTCATGTGTAAGGATCCAGAAGAAATTAGTTTTTGAACATATAACCAATGTATAATCTCCATTAGTAGGGTTAAGATCATAACCATATTGAACAAACAATTGCAATGCCACCTAAGATAACACATCTAATACTTTTGCAAACTAAGAGTTTGAACAAACTATTTGTATGTCATTTAAAATCTGAACAATAATCAAACTTGTTTTGTTTCTTTTCAAATACAATGTCAAATCTGTCATTTTCAAAAATAAGTAAACATTTCTTTTAATAAATGCAACTCATATAGTTTCTTGATAACAAACATATACATTATTTTACAATAATTTTGAGTAATAAAAAATACTTATAAAACAAGAAATAATTGTTCAAATCATATGCTTTTCTAGATTTTCAATTATATAATTTTTTTATAATACTTTTAAGTAATAAAATACCTTATAAGTGATGTAATGATATACATTTATAAATTATAACCATATACATTATTACTTTCGAAACCAGCTAGAGTGTTCATATACTAACCTTTAATTATTTTTCGTCGATACAAACATATAATTCTAACGAATACAGTTCTGATGTTTCTTTTTCTTTTTCCTAAATCATTCAAATAATATAAATTAATATGATGAAGATCAACATCTTAAGATTTAAAACTACACAAAATGATATCCTCATGTATCATATTCTTCCTATACCATTCTTTTGTTATTTTTCAAAAATAATTATTTTTCTTCTTTTATTTCTTTCACACAGGAAGTCTCATATTAAATTAGGAACATCACAATTAATTGATCTATAATCTTATATATTTTTCTGATTGGTAGGAGAGGAAGAGAATTTAAAAATGTACATAACACACTTTTCCTGGGTTTAATAGAATCTTTCTGATATGAAAATGGGCTTTTGATAAATCTCACTTTTTTCTTCTTTCTTCTCTCTGTACTATGATAACGAAGGTGCTTTCTCTCTTTTTTTTGTTTTCTTTTCTCTTTTCCCTCTGTTTCTCTCCTTTGTCTTCCTCTCTTCTTTTCCCTCCTCTCGCCTTCTTATACAAGAGACTCTCTCTCTTTCTTCTTTTTCCTCTCTCTCTTCCTTCTCCTTTCTCTTCTTTCTCCCTCCTCTTCTTCCACGAGAGATCCTCTATCACTTCTCTTCCTTTCATCTTCTCTCTTCCTTCTCCCTTCTCTTTCTTTCTTTCGTTGTCTCTTATGAGAACCCTCATGCAGGAGGGGGTGCGGTCACAGGTCAGAGGCAGTGGGGAGCTAATTGATCTCTTATTTGTGTCTTTTGCAATTTAGTCCCTGGTAACTTCTGTATTTATGTTCAGGACCTTGGGCAAAAAATGGATATTACACTTATGGTCAAATAGATATATGTATTAGGCCATGCATTTTGCACATTGTATACTGCAAATTGAGGCTGTTTAGACGAAGTAGGAATACATAACTGAATCCAGTGATTGCCATCTCAGCGGCATGTTTTGACCTCATTGGAGGCAGCATGGTACTTTCGGCATGTAACCTATAAAAGCATCACAAACTTCTGTTCTTACTTATTATTTTGAAAATATTAATCATCATAATTCTTCAAAATCACCTGAAGGGACATTTTAATCCTTCAGAACTTCTTATGGATTTTGTAAGTCTTTGTAGCATAAAATCAAATAAGAAAAAAATCTGTTTCAAGTTATGACACCAAAACCTGATGTTTGCCATATTGTGTCCAATAATGACCCTATGAAATGTCTAATAGTTTCAGAGATTGATGATTGCAATAGTAAGATCACATATATTTGATGTGGGACAAGGCTGTTATTTCTGAAACCTTGCAAAATCAATGCATCCTTTGTTTACCTAGGAGCAGTGGTCCTGATAATAAAAGCATAGAGGTGGAAGTTCAAGTCATGGTAGCTTGATTGTGATCGGAGGGTTTCACTGAGAACTTTGGTATCCTTGGGCAATCCTGTAACTAGTTCTATAATTTGCTGGATAAGAAGTTTTTTAGCAGTGCTATATTAATTACTTCTGCATTTTTTTTTGCCTTGTTGAGTATTTTGGATATGTAGATACTTTATCAGTTTTTTGGAGTCTCCAGTTCCAGATCCTTTAGGAAACCTGGAAACTTAACTTGACACCCATGCCATGAATATAATAATAGTTGTGTGGCACATTGAGTGACATTTGATTAGTTTAAGTTGATATATGGATTGATCTATGTCTTTAACGAGATATTGCTTGAAAAGTTAGGTAAGATTTAGTCAAAAAGAAGAACTTGATTGTGGAGAGTGCTTTAATTTGTTTTTGCCAAGATTAGAAACCATCATACATGAGAACAGTGGAGAAGTGACAATGTCAAAGCAATGACAAATATGAAAATATATTATTCTTTAGTTTTTATTGAGAAGATAAACCTTTATGATATGTTTGTATCTCTAGATAAACCTTTATGAACATATAACAGTTCATAGCAAAAATAGAATGATGTACCTTCTTCCTCAATGATTAGCATGCTGCTGTTGAAACAGTTACCCTAAGTAGGAATTTTATTTTTACTTTGGCTGCAAGTTGATAGTGTCTTTCTTATTCTGAACTTCTTGTGACCCCTCAAGAACATTTCGTTGGTTCTTCAGGAAAACTGGAAAAGGAATATGAGATGATCCTGAAGAGAACTTTGCAAAGCATATGCTTGATGACTATCCATCCCAATACAACAACCTCTATCATAGTTCAGGTTAGCGTGATTCTGTAGTTTAGATATAGTTTCCAGATGTTTTGCAGTTTCGTATATGCATTTGACCTCTTCCTTACAATATTCTTTTTGTTGCAGGTTTTTGGAGATGATGGTGCTGTATCTTTTTCCACTAAATTTTCTCTACTGTTTTCTGTTTCTTGTATATAGCCAATTTTCTTTGGAAGCTTATGATATCCTGATGGTCACATAACTTGGATGTTGGTCTATGGATAACTAATTTGTGAGATGCTATCGCTTTCTGATGACATCAAGCTTAATTAATTTTGATTTACAGTATGAGGAGGCTAATAATATGCATAGTGTCAATATACACGATAAGCCATTTGTTATACTAGGGTACTTTCCCTCGCAAGCTCTGTGCCCTTGAACTTGTATTATTTCCCCTCAAATTCATTCCCACTGTTATTTCTCAAACGCAATTGGGGTAGTGACTAGGTGGAAAACATGTCGTGGAATGCCTAGTGCATGCACACTTGGAACCCTATATGCAAATATAGACAGTCGTGTGGCTCCTATATATTATTATATGTTTTTTGTTGAAAAATAATATATCTAAACATTCAATATAGGCATGTATATATGATGATTGTTGTAATGTCTTGTTTTTCTTCAGTCTTATTGCTTTCGCAAACTGCATTAGGTTTTTTAAATATCCTTGAATATCTATGTTACTGAAAAATAAGTTATAGGCCAAATTTAGTATGGGAATTTAAAATTCTAGGATTTTTGCACAAATTCGAAGTGAGAATCTAAACTCTAATTGGTTCTTTAAATTCCAAGTGATAATCAAATTTGGTTTCATGGGTGATTTGGAGCATGATATATATGAGTGTTAATTTTGAAACTTTAGAATTAGAATATCCTACCCTTGAACTTTAGACCTTGGATTCAGGATGTAGGATTCCAGGAGGAGGTATTTTAAAAGGTGGATTATTGAGGATGCTCGACTCAAATCCTTATGAAGTTTCATATGAAATGGGTTTTGGAATTTGAAGGAGATAAGATTTAGAGGTTGGAATTTGGATGTTGTTGTTTTCAGTATAGGCTTTTGAGGGTGGAATATCTTGGGTGGGATTTCTACCATATTGTCACGAACGGTCGTCGCGCACCCGCAACAACTCCGTTCAACGAACCGTTCGTCGCTCACACCTGCATGTACAGCTGCGTGGCAGCATGCTTTCTCTTGGTTTTGGGTCATTTTGCTTGTAAAAATGTAAGTTCGAACAAGCTGCAGCGTTACAAAGCGACCGCTCACCGAACTGAGCAAAACAGCCCAAAACAACTCCGTTTTCGCGTGCCGCGGGAGGGTTGCGGTGAACTGCCTCCGCTCACCAAAACGTCAGCCATCTCAGCCCCTTTGAACCCCCCGGGTGGCACAGGGCTGGATGGGGCTTCGGTTATATATCGGGCGTTGAACTCTCTTTCGCAAATTCGCACGTGGCCTTTACGGGAACTTGTCTTCGCGCCCGGGACCCGGTGAGCGGCTGTTTGTGGGCTTGCAGTTGTTCGTTCATCCTTCTAAAGCCTTGTTTTCTCCCTCTCCCTCTTTTCTCTTGTGCACACAAGGTGTTCGTCGAATTGCTTGTAAAGCTTCCCCTTTTCGCGAGACTTCGGGACTTGTCCGTTGCTCGTTCTTTCGAACTAACCAACTTTCTCTTTTACAGGTCCTTCGGGACCTGCGAGAGGTTACAAGTTGGCTGATCCTTGCGGAGCAATATCGCAAGGGCGAAGCGCGACTTAGGCAACGCAAGCTAAGTTCGCGTCTTTGCCACAAGGGTAACTCGCGACTTAGGCAACGCAAGCTAAGTTCGCGTCTTTGGCCGCAAGGGTGCCTCACGCCTTAAGCAATTCCAGCTAAGGTCATGACATTGTGGCATTAGAGCGGGCAAGCACTTCGAGCGAGCAGCGAACGAACTTCGCAACTTCGCCATGGCAAAGCATCGTGGCGAATCAAGCAAGACGGGGCAAGCCGGATCCTTGCCCCAAGCAGCCGCAGGTGGGCTGCATATGCACACTCGCTCTCACGCTGTTGGAGCCGCTCCAGAGGAGCGCGGCAGCGAACATGATGAGCGAGAAGTTGGCTACTCTCCGCGAGCGAAGGAAGCGCAATCTGGAGCGCTAACTGGGAAAAAGAGTCATAAGGAGAGACTCACGACGGCGGAAACCCTCCTGGATG